GTGATACATGTCAAATATTAAGAATGAATGCATTTGAACTCTTTTGATATGTATTGCGTAAAAATTTATTTTATTATTGTTATGTTGTAGCCTTTTATTATAACATAAAGTGATTTTAATAAATTACATTAAAAAATATTAAATAAATTATATTTAATTAAACTATTTTATTTTACGGATTTGAAAAAGTAAAAGATATTTTCTAAATCAATTCTTACTTTTATTAGAATATTTTAATATACATATGGTTTTATGGTTGTGATACTACTTCCTATTTATCTGTACCCTTAATTACTTCCTATTTATTCATACCGGTAATAATTGGATCTAAGATCTTTTCAATCGAATTCAATTACTTTTATATTAATATAGTTTTATATATTTATATGATTATAATATTATTATATTTGAAAGAGAAATAATTTGAAATGATACGAGGTTGTGAAAATAAGTTTTAAATAAAAGGACAAAATATGTAATAGTGCAAGTATTTGTGTGAAGGGTAATTCTAACCGCACGAATTAAATTCCAAATGCACGAATTTTTGATTGACTTGATGTACATCACCGGAAGTTTTAATATATTAAACTAAATCAATGTTTACTTTACAATTTTCATTAAATGCCCTTATATTTATAGTTGATTTTCATATCATACCTTATACTTTTTGAAACTTTAGCATATATATATATATAGGTAAGAGTTATATGGAAAATGAATACAAGAAAGATAGTAGAGAGATTTGATTGTATTTTATTAAAACTATATTGTTTTTAATGGATCTATACCTAATATTAGGTACATAACAGCCACATATTCCTTAAGCCTTATAATTAATGAAATTAAAGGCATTTAATAATTAATGAAAGTTACTAATTTATGTTTATTTTTTATTTATTTTATTATTTAATGGTTTTAGTCTTGAACATCTCTCTCTCTCTCTCTCTCTCTCTCTATATATATATATATATATATATATATATATATATATATATATATATATATATATATATATATATATTAGAAACATCAGAATCGCACATATATAACAATTTTGTTTTAATTTATACAGATCTTAATAATTATAAACAACAAAACATAAATTTGATTTTACTAATTATCAGATATTATAACTGTAGAATTGTTACAATTATTGTGTGTTGCAAATGGAGAAATGTAGGAATTCAGGCGAGCAGCATAAACAGTTTCCCATCCAGCAGACCGTGATGATCTGTTGTGACGCCAAAGTGGTAAAATAGTAGGCATTGGATATCCTCCATGTAAATCAACCTTCACATAATGATCACTTCTAACAAGAGCAATAACAACAACTCTATGAGTTGAGATGTCTTGGGGACCAAGCCATAGTGGAAAACATGTTGACGGACTATCTTTGCTTAGAAAAATAACTATTACATTATACTTGTTAGCAATGAGAAAGCTAGTGACCAGCATAATCAACCAACGATCTGTTGGTGCGAAATGTGATCCATTGAAATTCAATGAGTGGTGTATGGTGTTTAAATCGTAATAAAAAATCTGTGCGTACTCAGCTGGGTGTGCTAACAACTCATTCTGTAAATCTAAGCGGATTTGACGCCAATTATCTTCACTATAACCGAGACACGCAGCTATTGCACGAAATCCACAATTTCCATCTCCCCTCACGTTTTGTATGTTTGTGACATATGGATGAAATTCATACGGAATTTCATTCATAAGTGGATCTGAATTATAAATTACTTGTTCTTGGTTGAAGTACGAGCTATGCATCGATTGTTCCTGATTAAAAGTTAAGTTGAACATTGGAGGTTCTCGGAACGAGTATGTACTGTGCCTATCCGGCTCCTGGTTTAGATCAAACAAATTAGACCGCATATAATCAGGCGTATAAGTAGAAATGCTACGTCGAGACGGATATTGAGTTGGTGGCGCTTGAGTCGGTTGATCTTGAGGTGGTGGATGTTGAGTTGGTGGGTCGTGGTTTAAATCGATATGGGTTTTCTTGAAAAGTTTCTTCTTTAAGGAGGGGCGCCCACGAGTATTTTTGTGAGTAGCAGGTTCAGAAACTGAAGTTGTTGACGGCGTGATTAAGTTTAGTAACTTCCTTGCTAAACTTAACTTAACAGGTCTTGATTGTTTTTCGTAATGAGCATTAAACATATTTACCTCAACTGCACAACCCAATTTATCATCTTCTAACGATTTGCATTCTAATAAATCAAGTTTCTTCCAAAACTTATCTACTGAATGAAGCGGTACACAATGACCTTTTCTAAATATAATGACGGCTCATGGTTATGAAATTCACATATCATTTTTATCTTCCAAGAATTATCTACTGACGAATATTTACCCTGTAGGCTAAATGGATAATTAATTTTTTTTGTCCCTGTTTTTTTTTTTGGAGATTTGTGTACTTTTGTATGTACCTCCACGGTCACATTGAAATACAACATTAAAGTTACGTTTAGAATTTTTTATGACGATGACATAACCTAAAGTATTTGCCATATTTTGCACCCAATCCATCAATTCTTGACGAGAATTGAACACCTGACAATTATATTATTATCAGTAGCAGACAAATCCACTTGATGCTTACATTACAGTAACAACATACTAATGAATTTATACCTTATTTGTTTTGAAGGGTGACGTGTCATCAAAGAAATAACGACTTTCGTTCAAACTTTCATTTTCATATGTTTCATTTGTGTCCATTGGATGAATATCCGTTTCAAATGGTGATGTGTCGTTGAAAAAATAGTTACTTTCATTGAAGCTATTATTTTCATCTATTTCATTTGTCTCCATTGGATGAATATCATCTCTCTAAACATAACAAAGAGAAAAAAATATATAATAATAATAATAATAATAATAATAACAATAATAATAATAATAATAATAATAATAATAATAATAATAATAAAGGTTAAGTACAAATACCTCATAATATGTGTCACCCATCCATTCTTTCCAACTTGTCATTTAATAAAATCTATATTTTTAACAAATATCATATATTTGCTTTTAAGGAAAGTTACTTTCAGCAAGTCGCTTTCAGTGTACCATATAAGAAATACGAATCCTCTATATATAGAAAGAAATTGTAACCAAATTTTCATTTTTATCCCTTCTATTTTTGTTAATGTTTCATAGTTTATATTTCTTATTTAACAAATTAATTTTTTTCTATTAATATTTAATAATATTCATTATTACTTTTTTTATAAATGTATTCATGAGATCATTTTAATTAAACAACTTTTATGAATAATTAATATGTTTCTACTTGTTAGTTTTCAAAATTAATAAAGTTTTAAGGGTTTAAGATTTAAATTGATAAAATCTAGGGTCTTTTCTAAAACTACAATGTAAACCGAAGGTATAAAATTGTAATATTATATTTTATCGATAAAATAATTCGGCACACATATTTATCGATAAAATAATTCGGCACGCAATTCAATGCAACAAATACACGAAAAATTCGTGTATATAGGAGGACCCTGAGTTTTTAATATATTTTATCATTTTTCATTTAATGCCTCTTATTTTCTATTAAAGTAACAAAATCTACCTTCCACTTTCCACTTTCCACTTTATAGTTTTTATTTTACTGTTTTGTTTATTGATTTGTTTTATTAACTAAACTTATTATATATATATATATATATATATATATATATATATATATATATATATATATATACTAAAACACATGGTAATTATTATTATTATTTTCAACATTATCTCTTTTTAATGATTGAGAATTTTAAAGTGTTCAACACCAACTAAAAAATGTTATATATATATATATATATATATATATATATATATATATATATATATATATATATATATATATATATATATATTAAAATAAAAAATGATGATAAAGTATGATCATCCCCATCGAGGGTTTTATGATTAGTAGGTTAAAAAGTGGTATTATAACATTGAATGGAATAAAAATGCATTATAGCTAGAATGTAATGAATGAGAAGTTCAATCCCCATTGAATCATGTATAACCAATAGTAAAAAATAATATATTTAAAATTAAAATTAATAATATAATAAAATATAATATAATTAATTAGGAAAACGTTAGAGTTATAAAACATAAAAAAAAAAAAAAAAATTATTGACTAATATATATTAAATGGTTTATAAAAACAAAAGAAAAAAAGTTTTCTAATATGATATATTTATACGGTGATGGTTGATAGAAAACAAATAGGAAAGAGTTATAAATTAAAATAAAACTTTTTTTTTAACCATATAACAAAAAATAATAAAGTTTAAAGTAAATACTATAAAACATTAAGGGTGTATTTTGAAAAATCTTTGCAAGTTGAGGGACAAATTAATTTTATCTTGTCAAATGTCATATCTGACCTTTATATACGAATCCTTCGTGCATATAGGAGTACCCTTGTGTGAAAGGTCACACGGACACGCATTAGAAGGTTGTTTTTTGATGCCTGTCAAATAAACTAAGATTTTCTAGATACATTCATGAAATTTTCGTTGAAATAACAACACATGTATGTATTCTGCTCAAAAGTCATTCATGACAGTCCTTTAAAATTGCAACTAATTATGGAGAGATGGGATGTCACCTGTAAAACATGTGAAATGTATTTGATTGATAATAATATGTCATTCAATGTATGTACTGTGTCAAAACTCTTTAATTAGTTACTGTTAACCAGTACAGCTAATTATGATGACAAGACTGACTAGTACCTGAATTTATATTGACCGACTTGTATGATCAACATTTTAACAGACGTTTACTGGTTAGAGTAGAAATTGGGTTGACTAACAGCCGCTGGTATTTGAACTCTAGCTAATAACTTCACCTCAGGCTCAAATGTGAGTAGTATAAAACCTAATGCTGGTGATATGTTTCTGCATATTTTATAATACTTGTCATCTCTTTTAATTTTCTCTCTTTATCTATCTCTTTGTCCAAATTTTGTACAAGTCATGAGCTTCACAGAAACTCAGAGTTTCGGAAGGTTTCTGGTGCTCCTGTGTTTCTCTTTGATAATAACAATCTCATCTGGAGCCACCACCATTTCTGCGAACCAGCCTCTGTCTGGAGACTACACAATAATATCTGAAGGTGAACAGTTTGAGCTGGGTTTCTTCAAACCAGGTAACTCTGCCAACTATTACATAGGCATTTGGTATAAGAAGATCAAGTCCAATCCTCTTTCCATAGTTTGGGTGGCAAACAGAGAAACACCCGTCTCTGATAGATTCCGTTCAGAACTAAAAATCATTGATGGGAATTTGGTGCTCTTGAATGAGTCCAAGTCCCAGATTTGGTCCACAAATGTCTCCTCCACCACCACTTTGAAGTCTGCAATAGCTGTTATTCTTGATGATGGTAACTTAGTTTTGAGAGACTCCAGTTCAAATTCAGTTGAACCTGCAGTTTGGCAAAGTTTTGACCATCCAACTCATACTTGGTTGCCTGGTGCTAAACTTGGTTATGATAAAAGAACTAAAAAGAGCCAGCGTCTTACATCATGGAGAAGCAACGAAGATCCTGCTGTTGGACTCTTCTCAGCTGAACTTCATCCATCAGGTAAAGAGTATGTATTCAAGTGGAATGGCTCCCAACAATATTGGACAAGTGGGGCTTGGGATGGGAAAGCATTTTATTTAGTACCGGAAACAAGGTTGGATTACAATTACATATACAGTTACCATGAAAATGCGAACGAGAGTTACTTCATTTATTCTGTGTATGATCCTTCAATTATATCTTTATTTTTCATGGATGTTTTTGGTACCATTCAGCAACTAGCATGGTCGGAAAATACCAAAGACTTGAATTTAATTTGGTTTGTACCTAAAACGCAGTGTGAGGTCTATGCATTATGTGGGTCTTTTGGGATTTGCAGGCAGTCTGGATCACCTTTTTGTAATTGCTTGACTGGCTTCAATCCTAGATCAGAGAGTGATTGGAATCACAGTGATTTCTCTAGTGGATGTGTGAGAAAAACCGATCTGCAGTGTGGGAGAAGCACGGAAAAGCAAGATTTTCTCAAGATTATGGTCAAGAATCTGCCTCCAAACAACTCTGTGGCAGCTGGGAATGCTGGAGAATGTCGTACCACCTGTTTGAATGATTGCTTTTGTAATGCTTACTCTTTTGTGGGTACTCAATGTTTAGTTTGGAATGGAGATCTCTTGAACCTATCAGAAGACGATGGTAGTGGGAATACAATCTACATTAAAGTTGCTTCTAAGGATCTTCCTCATCCTAAAAAGAGTAATCTGATCACGGCCGGTGTTATTGAGGGGTTGGTGGGAGGTACGGTTCTTGCCTTGGGTCTAATTTTGGTTTTATTCTATGTAAAAAAGAGGGTATCGGTGGGAAAGACAGAAATGGTGGGATCACTGGTGGCGTTTGTCTACAAAGATTTGCAAATAGCCACCAAAAATTTCTCTAACAAACTGGGAGAAGGTGGTTTTGGTTCGGTTTTCAAAGGGGTACTGCATGATTCGTCGATTGTGGCAGTGAAAAAGCTTGAAAGCATCAGCCAAGGAGAGAAGCAGTTCAGGAGTGAAGTCAGCACAATCGGTACTATCCAACACGTTAATCTTGTACGTCTTCGTGGGTTTTGTGCTCAAGGTAAAAATAAGTTGTTGGTTTATGATTACATGGCAAACGGTTCACTAGATACCCATCTTTTCCGTGGAAAACAAGTTTTAAACTGGGAAACGAGGTATCAGATTGCGCTTGGAATTGCAAGAGGGTTGGTTTATCTGCATGACAAGTGCAGAGACTGCATCATTCACTGTGACATAAAGCCAGATAACATTCTTTTAGATGCTAATTTCCAACCTAAAATTGCTGATTTTGGGCTGGCAAAGCTTGTTGGTAGGGACTTTAGTAGGGTGTTAACAACTACAAGGGGGTCAATGGGGTATCTAGCGCCAGAATGGATATCAGGGGTTGCTGTCACAGCTAAAGCAGATGTTTATAGCTATGGAATGATGCTTTTTGAATTAGTCCATGGAAAGCGAAATGTCATGCATTGTGAAGATTCAAGTAGTACATTCTACCCAGGTTTGGTTTCAAGTGTTCTTATGAAGGGAGGTGATATCCTTAGCCTGCTAGACACTAGGTTGAACAGGGAAGCTAGTGTTGAAGAAGTGACAAAGATTTGCAAAGTTGCATGCTGGTGTATCCAAGATGAGGCAGAGAGTAGGCCTGCCATGAGTCTGGTGGAACGGATTCTTGAAGGGGTCTCAGACGTGAGCATGCCTCCAATCCCCCAAATTGTGAATTTATTTGTTGAGAACACGGGGGATGTTGTTTTCTTCACTGATTCGCCCTCAAAAGAGTGTTCACAAGCACAGAACTATTCTTCGGGTAGTGACCCCCAATCGAAGAGTTCATCATCTTAAAGGTAATTCTCTATCTTCTCTGTTATGTTCACATTAGACATTGTATGGTGATAAAAATAAATTACTCATTGACTTTTTGTTGCAAATAGATGAAAGATATTATAAAAATATGCTACACTCTAAAAAATGAATTCTGGAGAAGTATGTTTCAAGAATGATGATTTCTTGGTGTTTATATATTTACAATTGTTCAAAACTGCTTGTTCTTTTAGCACTAGTTCTCTTTTGCCTTCTTTATGTGAACTAGGGTCTGGTTTGCTATGCACATAGAAAATAATGGCTGAGGAAGCGGATCACTCTAGAATAAAAGCTGCATTTCATTGCACACAATCATTCTAACAACTCAATCGGTCATGTTTATAAAGTTAAGGTTTGTTTGATAGCCCAAACATGGTATTCTATATTCTCGTATCCTTTCCTGCTAAAAGTTCTATGTGAATATAATTGTCGGTTGACATCGTATCTCTGGAGGTTTCTAAGTAAGGTTTATCATTACCTATCTTTTCTTACTTGTTTGTGCCATTTTTTTCCTCATTTATATTTTGAGTTATTTCGAGGAATAATGTTACTACATAGTAACCAAGTTTCACAATCGTTCTATCTCTAGGCACAACAATTTTTTTTTTTTTTTTTCTCTAGAGGTTTAACCACTCAACTTTGATATCTTGTATTTTATTATAGTTCTAGATGTTATTTAGATATTCCCCATACCAGCCCAACAAAAATTTGCATTCTACATCTGTTTTTACCTTTTAGGTTGTTCGAGTAACCGGTAAACATCATCACAGACAATTCTTTTATGGGTACCATGAATTGCCGTATAGGGCATGGGGATAATTCGAATTTGGGAACTTGTACATTGTGTGATGTGTAGCACAATAACTTTTGCACAATTTCTTATGGAAATCATGAACATCTATTGGATGAAAGTCTTTTAGGTTTTTATGTGTAATTGTTGAAATTATAGATTTTATTCTTAATCAAACTAATCTTGAAAAAATATTGAAGACATTTGGAACATTTGTTATAAATTAATTTGGTTTTTTTAGTGCAGTTACTATATAATAAAGTAATTCTGAGCATGAACTGCAGATCAGTTATTGAAAGTTGAAAGTGGGAAGCAGCAAGGAGGTTCGTGAAGGACTGAAGCAGTCTAAATGAGTTGTAACTATGTTCTATTTATGTTTCTCATTAAATAACATTACGTTGAGTGATTTATTTGGTATGTTCTAGAGATCTTTGTAGTGAGTTTTCGTGTAAGATGTATTTCATTTTTTGTGTTCTTAATATATGCTACGATGAAGTGGAAGTTTAAGTATCTTGGTTGCAATGTGATTTTTTTTTTTTTTGGGTATCAGAGCAACCACGTTTACCTGTGTGACAGATCTATGTTTGTTCATCAGCGTTTTTTATTCGATTTTCTCAGAACTAGCTGCTTCTGGTTAGAGTAGATCTTGAACAAACCACTGTTGTTTGCTTGATTGGTATCTCACTGTTTCCGACTCTTCAGATTCTTGAAAATATACTCCTCTACTGTCTGGATCGTTTTGTTTTGTATCAAATCTTTATCTATCTGAATTTTCCGCAGTTGTATCTTGTTTCTTTCGGATCAGATTGGTGTTTCTTCACCCTTCAGTTAGGCTATTCTACCTTCTTCAGATATGGTTTGCTGTGCTGGGGTTTCTGTAAATCTTGAACATAACTCATTAATAATTGTGTAGCGTGGATATGGTGTGCTGTGCTGGGGTTTCTGTAAATCTTGAACATAACTCATTAATAATTGTGTAGCGTGAGTGTGCTGACTTCCTACATGGACTCTTCAGATAGAGAGGATTGAAGAATTAAAAGAACCTTCTGATCAAGTTCAACCCAAGCAGCATGGGCTGGGTTGGGAGTTTCTTTGCCGTCGATTAGAGTTGTGGATTTCCGAACGGTAGAAGAACCATCGACATGACTCATCCACTTTTGATGAATAAGAAGTGGGGTAATTTGATTTCGCCTGAGGAGGTAATTGGATGAGGTTAACTTAATGGTGAGCATATGGATGAGAATGTCTGAGGAGAAAGAATTCTCAGACTAAGAAGCCATTGTGAGACGAAGAAGATGAGAGGCAGAAAGAAAGTGAAAGCCGTGAGGCGGTTTAGGGATCGGTATTTAGGCTGATACCATATGATGATGAGATAAAAGTTCCGGATGAATATTATTGAAAGATGAATATATTCTAATAATGAAAGTTTTTTTTTTTTTTTTTTTTTTTTTTTTTTTTGTTTTTTTTTTGTTTTTTTTTGTTTTTTTTTTTTGCCACATATCACTATTATTCAAATTGTCAAAAGTCATTTTGTGGTAATTTTGAATTAATTTATTTGATCACATGACATTTTATGGGTTTTTTTAACAAATTCAACATAATACTTTAATGTAATAATATTAATAAATGTAGTAATAAATGAATATCAATTTCATTAATGGACTTATCTTCTTATTTCAAAATTTTCAAATTAAAGCTAATTAGTTTACTTTTATTATTTATTTAAATTTAAAAGATAAAAAAAAATCAATTTTGATAATTCATTATTTTTCTTATTTTCTTATAAATCTTAAGTTCTTAAGTATTTAGATTTATATATATATATATATATATATATATATATATATATATATATATTATATACATATATATATATATATACATATATATATATATATATATATATATATATATATATATATATATATATATATATATATATATATATATAATTAACATATGTAATATATGGGTCTTACACCTAGTAAGTATATATATACAAATTACAACATTATATTCAAAGTAAAAATTAGTCTAATATAGGTAACTAAATTAAACTAATTATATACATAATTTATCTCCAATACTAATCAATCTTTGATTGCTTTTTTTGTTTGTGGTGAATGGTTTCCAGTATGGAATTGTTCCTTCATTGAGACTCTTTTATTTGAATTCATCATTGAGAATTCATCTTTGATTGTTTCAGTTCGTATCATGTTGTTAATCGTTGTTGGCATATATTTGTTTTCATTCAAGATCTAGGTGGTTCATTGTAAGTTGCCTGGTTTCTGTCTATCATAGCAAGCATACTATGTGTGCATCTAACTTTGCTCTTGGCCTATAGCAAGGTCATTTCTCTCTTTATAACTTGACTATTATATCAGTGTTTTGTGTGACTCATTCATTAGCCTTCACTCATATCTTACGTATGTCTCTAAGCTTTGAATCCTAGATAGAATATTGGTGGTCTGTGACAGGTTGACTTTACATATGTATAATTTATAGTTATCTCCTTGTTTTGGGATAAAATTTATTGTTTCAATCACGTTGGCTCTTGTTTATGGTTTAATTGGTTTTGTTACATGTGATTTGATTACCGAAGACCTGAAAGATATGTTGGAATATTTGGCAACATAATGGAGCATTTGGATTAGGGATCAAGGCATGAAGCTTTTGGCTAAAGCACATGAGCATTGCCAAATGCGCTGGAGGCAAGTTAAACGCTCTCCACAAAAATATGCTCCAGGAAAATGTATCGGAGGCAGGTCAATGCCCTCCAACCGAAGGCAAGCCTAATTCGCTCCAGCATGGACTAATGTGCTCCTGCATGACAAAGGCGTTGGGCTGGTGCCTGATGCACTGGAATGGCTTGGAAATCCAATAATGCATCGGCTTTGGTGCAAGTACTCACTTGGTGCAAATGTGCTCTCTTTAGTGTAAATGTGTTCTTGGTATCAAGGTGCTCACTCAGTTCAAAGGTGGTCTCATAATAACTTCGTCAATGGCCAAAATAATTAATTTTACGCCAATAGATTTGTTAGAATCTTGGAGCCTAACATATAACTTCATCTAATTACAAATTTCATCTTAGAAGTCATATTTAAGAAAGGATTCTAATATCTTGAAACTTAGTTGATTATAAATATAAAGAACAAATACCATAACAACTTTTACTCGGAAATTAAAATTAAAAACACCACCAAATCTTCACATTTGCCCCTAATTTCAACATTAATATCCAAAATTGACTATGTTCAAATATAGGGGAAAGGAGAGAATTATGGTTCTTAGATATCATCATTCTATGCCAATGTGGAACTAACCCACTTGGTAGAGGCTTTGCTGAAACATCCCAAAAATACAAGCCAAAAAATTCGTTTGAAAACATTACTAAAACCAAAATATCCTAGTATCATATAAGAAAATCATAAGTCGTGTGTCTCAAAATGTCATAAAATATGTCTCATATCAAACTGATGTCAAGATCATGTAAAAAATATCAAAGTCTAACTCCCAGGCTAAACCTGTGGTGTGTGCCATGCCATCATCTCGAGCCCTTCCCCTTGCTAGTTGAAGTACCTGAAACTAAAACTAAAACAGTAAGCACGAAGCTTAGTGAGCTCCCCCAAACAACCACATACCATGCAATAACATATAAATCACATACTGGGCCTTGCCCACTGTATCGGATCGAAGTCTAGAACTGACTAGGGCCTTGCCCACTGCATCAGACTGAAGTCCGGAACTGACTAGGGCCTTTCCCACTGCATCGGACCGAGGTACAGAACTAACTAGGGCTTTGCCCGCTGCATCGGACCGAAGTACAGAACTAATTAGGGCCTCCCCCTCTGCATCGAACCAGAGTCGGGAACCGACTGAACATAGCATAACATAATCATAGCATGTAACAATAACACATATACTGTATACTGCATCGGACCGCAGCCCGGAACACATAACACATAGACATGCCTGAATCACAAAGACATCAAGCATACTGAATTACTGCTATCTAAACGGGTCGACATTGTGGCCGTAGGCCGTTCCTAATGGAAGGAAACTCACCTCGTAAGGCTGACTGCTAAAATGCTAATCGGGAACTGTCTCACTGCTGCTCCGGTAACTCCCCGGCTACAATTCCCATAAAGATACTTAATTAGTCACTGATAACAAATCTTAGGGTAAAGTGACTACTTTACCCTGGGTTAAAGTCAATATCCTGGTCAAATTCAACTTCCAGTTGACCTGACTCGTCGAGTTGGTCCACCAACTCGCCGAGTCCCTACCCTCTCTTCTGCTCCCTACCCAACTCTACTCACTGAGTTTAGCAAAGGCTCGACGAGTTCTCCTTCTTTAATATTATCGAATCAATCTTCATCCGACTCGCCGAGTTGTATGAACAACTCGTCGAGTCCATCTTCTTCATATGAACACGTCCAATCTACGAGTCGCCGAGTTGTATGAACAATTCGTCGAGTCTGTTCTTGTGGGTAAGGAGTTTTCCTTGGACTCGCCGAATATGTTCTTACACTCGTCGAGTCCCATGATGTCCAGATCATGGCTATGTCTTAAAACCTCGAAACACTCCTTGGGACTTTTCTAAACCTCTTCTAACACTCAACTTGGTTCCTTGAACCATAACACGGTGGGGACTGAAGCCCCGGACTCACCGAGTTCCAAGAACAACTCGTCGAGTCGCCTATTGTCCAAGTCTATAACTCGATTCCTCGCGTACAAATCTTATCCAAAAGGTAGATCAGGGCTTCTAAGATCGATCTAGCACGTAAAGTTATGGACTTTACGTACATGCATGGAAGCATAAGCTTTAAGGACCCAAAATGAGGTCTAAAGGGGTGCATGGGCTAATATGGCCATAAAGCTTGCATCTTTATGCCATGAACTTGGTTCTAGAGTCTAGATCTGAAGGTGAATTGAATTGGGACGTCCAAGTCTTAAGGACCAAGCTTATTGACCCCAAAGCTCCATAAAGGGGCAAAGGAGAAAATCTATAAAACCACAAGTCAAGTATTGAGCTTGATTACCTGAAGGTGAAGAGAACCTGATGTTGTTTTTGGATCTAGTCCCCCTCCCTTGATCCTTCTTCCTTCCAACTCCTCTACTAGATACACAATGCACCAAAAACCCTCTAAGTCACTAAGAAATCTCAAGTTTTCCAAAAGGGAATTAGGGTTTCGAAACCAATGCTCTGGAGGTGATGGAGGCTAGATCTGAATCTCATTATGTTGTTTAAATTGGGTGCAAACCCTTTAATTAGGGTTTCATCCAGACCAGCCTACTCGGCGAGTCCAAGCGCGGACTCGGTGAGTAGATTACTTAAACCCGCGTCCCAACCTCGCATCTACTTGATGAGTTAGGGTTGCCACTCGTCGAGTCACTAATACAAATGATATAAAAGTAGATCAAATATGTACCAGAAACGAGGTGTTACAATTCTCCCCCAGTTATCTTAGACTTCGTCCTCGAAGTTTGTTGTCTCTATAAACAACTCTGGGTAGTGTTCTCTCATCTCCTCATCGGGCTCC